GCATTGTCCACCATTACCAAGATAAAAAAAATGTTTGCAGATGTGCTGGCCCCATATCAAAATTTCAGGCCAGGGTTTTATGGTGTTTTCTCACCAGCATCCTTGTGTTCAGTGCTGGTGGGCAGAGAGACATACATCAATGCCTCTGGTGTCAGGTTGCACCATGGTTTCTGTGAGAAGCAGATGGTGTCTCTCCGCTGAAATTACCAAGGCTAGCAATTTTCATGATGCTGGAGAGAAACGGCTTTAAAATAATCTTGGTTGGTCCCAGTAAAAGGTATTACATGGACTGCGGTTTGTTTTTAGGATAAATAAAGCCACTTGAGTTTTGATCCAGATTGGAATTGTCCAGAATGCTGGCAGCCCATAAAGACTGCCTAATAATTGTAACCCACAGTCAAAATTAGGGACATGTTAATCATGTAAATTAGTCATTCATATTTTTTTAAAAAAACAACCCCTTATTTTTACCCATAGACTTGTGTCTCATGTCTTCATTCAGAATGTGATTTGGATCGCTTGTCGACTGAATGTGTTTAAAATTGTGCACATCTATGGAAAAATCTGCTGTTGCTGCTTGTGCCTTCTGCCATTACAGAGTTCAGAAAGCAGGTCAAAGCCTCTTTCTTAATAATTATCTATTAAATAATTATTTCTAAGGTGGTGAAATAAAAGGAGTAATCCTAATGTGTTTTGCATGAGAGTGGAAAGACAAATTCAGCACTGTCAAATGTTGTGAGCCTCCCTAATCTGACCACATGATTCTCTGGACCTGACCTTCAGCTTAGAAACTGAAAGTTGTAAGCACTGATAGCAGGGCTGTGGAATTTCCCAGACCTGCTGCCACACTACATTGTATTTGTTCTAATTGTCACTTTCACAACGGCCATGTGAAACATCCTTATTTGATAAGCAGAGGTTGAGTAAACATGGCTGTTGGCAAGATAAAACTATTCTGACATTATCAAAATAAGACCAATCAGTCGGGGGAGAAACTTTGTCTTATTATAAACTAGAGTGAATATCTCATTTTTCTTAAAAATGCCAGCATTGTTAATGTTATCTGGCTTCAACCTTTGTTGCAGAAGGCTGATAATTATATTAAAAGTAATGTCTCCACAACAAAACCCGCTGCCTCATCAGTTAGTTACCATTTAATATCAGGATGAAGAGACATCTGCAGAGAAAACCAATTATTTTTAAATGCCAAACAAGATCAGATTGCTGGAAAACCAAGAGGAAAAAAATACCTTTAAATTGCCCCTCTACATCTGGGTTTGCTGGCACTTGAATAACCTCTTCGTAGGTTTATCAGTGATGACTTAACCCCAGCCCTTCAGAATCAAAGCACATGCTTCTGTCTCTTGAGCTGTATGAAAATCTCTATTAACTGACAATCATGGGAGGATTTTTCTCCCTTTCAGGCACAGCACCCATCAAAAGCCTGACAGGGTATAGCTAGGCCTCCCTGCAGAAGGATTTCACCCACCACTTGAAGAAGTACACAACAGTACCAGTTGTTGCCTGCAGGAATGTTCAACATTACTGAATATCATGCTGCACTGAATATGGTAATATTTGAACATTTCAAGTCGACGTACATGAAAAATCCATGTTAGCCACCTGACTCTATGAAAAATCCAAGTTAGCCAAGCCTTGTGTGAGGCTCACTATTTAAAAACAAACAACAAACAAACACAAAACTCTAGATACATACCTTCATCTGAATCCCAGAAATCATTCCAATGTGCAATCTTGTGTATGCATATCCAGAACTATTCATTTTACCAGTGGAACAGGGAAGTCTATAAACATGTTTAGGTTTATTTAGCTCAGCATTGTTTTCTGTGATTGGCAGCAGCTGTCCAGGGCATGAGACATTGGAAGGTCTTTTTCAGCACCTACTTCTTTGGTCCATTTAACTGAGGATGTCATGGACTGAACCTGGGGCCTTCTGTATATAAAGTGTGTGCCCTCCCACTGAACCACAGCCCTTCTTAACAGGGTTCATATCAGAGCATCAAACACATACACATGGTGGGATCCATATAACAAAACATAGAGGAATAAATGAAAGGAGTTTAAGATGAATGCACAGCTTCTTCTAGAAAGACACGGCTAATTTACCCATGCTGTTTTGAAGGCATTTAGATATGACAGTTAGTTGCACTCCAGGGAAAAATAATGATAAATGTGTTAACAAAGTGTCGAAGTGTTAACAAAGTCTGTCCCTCCTCTCCAGTCTCTGGATGCTGAAAGGAATGTTGGTCCTTGAGAGGGAGGAAGGAAAGGCATGACTGCTTGTCTGGGGAAGAGACTGTTGCTATCAACAGGCAGAGCTGCTACAGTCTGCTCTGCCCCATCTCCTGCATGTTCATTATTTCATTGATAGTAGATTCGTTGTTAACTTGGGTTTCAATATTTTTGGTTTTCTGGTGTGTGTGTGTGTGTGAGAGGGGGGTGGTAATACTGTAAGTTGCTTTGAGACCACAATTGAGTGGAGAAAAGTGTTTTTAATGTAATTAAATACATGAACATGAGGAAAAGCAGCATAGCAAAAGAAGACACATTATTGCGTGCCTACTCTGAGAGGTGAAGCTAGTTTGGGTTTGGGGTCTGTTTTGAAGGAGCATGGCATTTTTATTTGCAGAACTGGTCTTAACAAACATGAAATACTTTTTTAAAAGTTTATTTATACTGATATCATTATTCTAATTATATATCAGAAATGATAAAAAACGCTGCAGTGACCATTTTTCCCTCAGAAAAATAAGACTGACTTGGGCATCTTGCTCATCTCAGGTGCCTCATTTGACTTGTCTTGAAATGCCAATCCAGAGTCCTAGTAAACCTTTTTCCCCTCACATATTAACCTGATGGCAGCATTTTGACACATCACATCAAGGTCTATCAGTCACATCCTCTTAAATCCCTTCTTATGGGACTTGTCTTAATGAAGTCTGATGTGGATGAAACAGAAGTGAAGTGTCACACAGTAACGCAAAGTCACTTTCCCCCAAAGAGCTCAATATGTCAGCTACAGTCATTCTGAATAATGTGGGGGATAGGAATACTAATTTTGAGCAAAAGTGGGGGAAATCCCTGATTACATAACAGGTACTTCTGATGTTAGGTCAGTATTATTAGTTGTTGGGTGGGAAAATATCTGTAGTTGTTGGACAATAAGGTGTGTTTTTTTATTGCTGCATCACTCTTTCACTGTTTTTGCAGAAATTGCCCACCTCTACCACCATCCTTAGGAGCTGCGGTGGCTCAAGTGGTTAAGACGCTGAACTGCATGCTGTGGAAGGTCGGTAGTTCAGCAGTTGGAGACCCAAGTGTGCTGCATGACAGAGTGAACTCCCATCTCTAGGTCCAACTCCTGCTAACCTAGCAGTTCGAAAGCAAGAAATTGCAAGTAGATAAATAGGTACCACTTCAGTGGGAAGGTAACAGCATTCTGTGCGCCTTGGTGTTTAGTCATGCCGGTCACATGACCATGGAAATGTCTTTGGACAGCGCTGGCTCTTTGGCTTTGAAACGGAGATGAGCACCGCAACCCTAGAGTCGGATTCGACTGGCTTTCGAGCAAGGGAACCTTTACCTTTACCACCATCCTTAAACAAAGGGGACTCCGTATTTATCAGTCTGTATGTCCAGCTGTTGGGGTGATTGTGTGGAAGGACATAAAGATGAGACACTTCTCCACATAGTTATTACATTTTAAATAGATTTACCATTATCACACAATCCATCACCAGCCTCATGTCTCTACAGGACAGTCCATAGCCATTTGAAATCAAAGTACATTATTGACCCCATAAATGTCTGGAAGGACAGTGGAGCCAGCCTGCCAAAAATGTTCAGCTGAGAACTCAGCAAGTGACCCTACTGAGGCCATGTACATGAGGCTTAATGTGGCTTCTAGCAGTTAAGTGTTCTCTAGGGATGAGGCCATATTTTGAAAGCTGTTGAGATTGAGTCAAATATTCCTATCCTCAGTGAGAAATGAACCCACACGTCTTTGTGTTTTTTTATCAGTTCCTCTTTCCTCATGCAGAAATATTTTGTGTGGGTTAAACACTGTTTTTAGTGTTATTTTTAAACTTTGATTGCATATAAATGACTTATAAATGGCAAAAAGGACATTTATGTGGTATAAAAATAATGTATGAATAGTGGACCCAAAGTGTCATCAATGAAATGAAAATGAGGTGAATTGAAATTGGTAAACAAGGGACCATATGAAATCTAAAAGCATCAAAAATGGTTATACTGGCAATAAAGTCTTTCACAACCAAATTCCCTGCATCTCTAGCAATTCTAAACTGATCTCTTTTAATTTTGTCCTAAAAGAGCCCCTATTCCCTCAAAAACAAAATATCCATTCCGTTTGGTGACTTCCACCTCTTATTTTGTCAATCACTAGGTACGGTCCCTGGCCTAATAAGATATAATTACCATAAGGTAATTATTCCCAACTCTGTGATCATCATGTTAGAATCCGTATTCAGTTCAATCAAATCTCCCATTTATACTCTTATTGAGTATACTTACTTAGCCAAGTAAATCAAAGATTCAGAAATTCAGATTTCCACATCTACAAGGAAGGGCCTGATTAGAACTCTCAAGGCAATTTTTACATTTCATTCCTAACGCTAGGCCAGGATAGTAAATTCTTACCCTTTATCATATCTTTGGAAGAACAGTAACCTATTTGAAATAATACAATATCCAGACTGGGACACGGAGAGTGATTTTTTTAGTAGTTCTTAGTATTACATCTAAGAATGATATCAAAGCACAGGCACCACCTGCTGTATGGCCAGGCACCCTCTGGTTTGCCAAAGGCATCTCAGCAGCTCTGCTCCAGTAAAGAGATTTGGTTCATACCATGCCTCAGACACTACTATTATGTTCTTTGACATCTCAGCAGGCTCAGTCAAATATGCATGTGCTCTTCCAATATGCATAACGCACAAATGAAGACAATAAAGTACCTTTCACAATCAGGTTCCCTGAGTTTCTCGCAATTCCAAATTGATTCATTGCTATGCAAGTGTAGACACCTGCATCTGATTTGGTAACATTATATATCTTCAGACAGCCATTCTCTAGGATAAAGATTCTGAAGAACAAAAAAGAAAATTAATTAATTGAAACTGTGAAACCAGTTATTAACACAATATTATTTCGAGCTCTAACAGCATAGCAGTGATGCAATGTTACTTTTAATATTCGGGCAACATTAATCATCATTGTTTTATATAGCAGAGCTGAGCACATTCCAACTAAATTTTTATCTCACTGTATCATTGATCATTGTGTTAGACACAGATTAGATGTACCAGTCCACACCACTAGCCTGCATCCTTCTGTGGTCAATGCCAGCTGCTTCAAAGGAAGGAATAAATCCACCCTATGAGGTATAATTGTGTTGTGTTTTCTCACAGGGTGAAATATTTTCTTGATCGTCTTTGGTGAGCTGTTTACAGTATAAAGTATGAGGCATGATAGCCCATGTAATTTTCACAGTGTGAGTAAAAGTTATTAGTCATCTAGGTAGCATCCTGCAAACCTCTCACTCAGACAACAAAAGTGGCACAAAATTATTGCAAGAACTCTGCTGCATCATCATAATCAGAAATAGCCTTGACAGTTCTTAGGTACTGAGGGTAATTTGGCTGAGTTTTTTTGTTGTATTTTTGCTGTCAAGTTACAGCTGACCTATGGCAAGCCTAGGGTTCTCCAGGCAAGAGACATTCAGACTTCTGCTTCCCATTGCCTGCCTGTGTGTATTGACTCTGGTATTGTTTGCTGGTCTCCCATCTAAATACTGACCAGGACTGACCCTGCTTAGCTTCCAAGATCTGATGAGGTCAAGCTATCCTGGGCTATCCAGGTTCAGGTGAAATCTGATAAGCAAGATCTCACATGTACCTCTGAATGCTTGTGAGAGACTGTTTATCTGATTAAAACAGCACCTTGAATGGCACAGTCCTAAGCAGAGTCATAGCCTTCTAAACCCATTAACTTGATTGGACTTAGCTGATTTCCCCTGCAACATGAGGCTCTGCCCTGTTTTCCCTTGGTTATGTACAATGCTGGAAATCCTGTCCTAATTATGCTGAGTTACACAAAACACTGTGATATCTCATCTCAAATCAAGTGTAGACATTTGTGTTTTTTTGATCAGGTACATAGCACCCAGTTGGTGGCTTATCTTTATAGAATGCAGTTTCTTGAATGATTGATCCATGTGAGACAGCCCCGTAGCTAGGGAATACTTTGGGAGGGGGCCTTGGGGGGGCCTGCCAGCTAATTAAATGGAAGTACAGTGCAGGTGGTAAGTTGGAGCACTTTGGGGGCAGCCCCAGAGGAAGGGGGCCCAGAAGAAACACAAGGGGGCCGGGCCCCGTGGGCCCCATGTTAGCTACGGGCCTGATGTGAGAAAACAGAAGGAACCTAGGCCATATTTAACTGAAGTTTAAACAAGAAAGAGAGAGAGAGAATAATAATTATCCTTTGTGTAGTAATGCAGTAGCATCTGCAAAGCACAAGAGCAAGCTATGATTTGAGTGGAGCCAGAGATGCTGATTTAGAGTTAATTATCACAGGCTGTGTTCAACCAACTGTCAAACACAAGAGAATTCTCACACCTGTGCTTAGTGTTCGAGGTGATCAGGTGTCAGTATTTTTTTTAAAAAATAACCTAACTCCCTGGGATTCATTTAGCATGATGGGAATTCCCCCCCCCCTCCTGTTCATTCCCATTGCTGAATCAGTAGGTAGTTTCGGCACAGCTGCTTTGCTGATCTGTTTGGACTCATCTTGAAAATCTATACTGTCATCGGATCCTTTGACTCCTTAAAAAAAAGAAAAGAATATGTATACAGAAAAAAATGTTCAAGGAGAAAACGAAGAGGATTTGGCACAATTTGCTAGTGATCCAATAAAGGAAAGATAGAGGGAGGCCTATAAGTAATTTAGGATTCAGTTCACTTGGAAGTCATTTTGGAAAATCAACTTGCCTCCTTGTGTTTTTCTTTTATCTACCTCTGGTGCTATTTCCCATTAGTCAAAATAAAATCCCATTGGTGCCTTGCAATAGGTCAAAACTGATTGTGTTGTGTTTGTTCTCTCCCATTAGAACCCAGGGTCATCTGCTGAAGCTGAAGGGTGGATGATTCAGAACAGACAAAAGGAGGTACTTCTTCACAAGGCACATAGTTAAATTGTGGAACTCAGTACCACAGGATTTGGTAAGCTGTCAACTTGGAAAGCTTTAGAAGGGGAGTGGACAAATTCATGGAGGAGAAGGTTATCACTGGCTACTAGTCATGATGGATATCTACTCCCTTCAGGAACAGAGCCACTATCCCTCTTTATATCAGTTGCTGGGGATCATGGGTAGGAGGATATTGTTGCAGTCATCTTGCTTGTGGGCTTCCTTTAGGCAGCTGGTTGGCCACTGTGTGAACAAAATCATGAAACTGATAGGCCCTTGGTCTGATTCAGCATGGCTCTTCTTATGCTCCAGGACAGGAACACAAATTTATGAGAACAGGCTGCACAACTTGAGGCCAATCCATATGACTGAAACCCACTTGCCTTATAGTGTAGCTAAAATACCTCTTTTGATAGTATCTTTGAGGCAGCAAGAGCAGGAAGTTTATATTGTATACTGAGTTGCCTTAGAGACTAGTGGGCTATAATCAGCTTGATGGTGCATAAGTTATGGTGACCTGCTTTAAATGTGCCATTTTCTTTCTCCCTTCATGTTGAAAAGGCTAGTCCTAGTTTTCATAGATTCATGGCTACTAGAAGTTAACAAATAAAGACCTTATGGATAATGGCAGTTGATTAGCCACTTGAATCCATCTTGTCTGTTCAAGAGAAGCCATCAAGTAATGCACACCTTGTGACTCTCCAAAGTACATGAGATGCACTAGCCATGTGTCATGGTCTGCCAAGTACTCAACACCCCTTCTGTTGTACAATCCCAGAGAGCTAGCAAAACAGGAGACACTGGGCCTATGGAAAATTGCCAGACCAGGTTGATGAGTTATTTTGACTTGGTGGGTCATAAGCTGTGAAGTTCTCTCCTGCCATATGCCCACATCTAGTGATAATACAAGTAAATAGATGTGAATTTTGCAGACATCAAAAATCAGCATATCAGATGGAAACTTTTTGACAGATTGCATGTGACACTTAACTTGTAGATTTAACAATGCTATCAACCAGCTGGCGTTTCCAGATAAGAATGTCTATGTTCTTAGAAGTAAACTAATACTGTTTAATTGGCATTACTGAGCTTTGTGCCAAGCCACTAAGATAAGGGTATCTTTCCCTCCCAAAGTTTTGAAATGATACTCAATGACAATGCAAAAAAATAAATAGATGAGATTTTCAAACACCTTTTTCACTTGTGGACTTGCCTGGCATTTAAATTCAAATCCTTGAACTAGCAAAAGACAAACATTGCTCTGATGTACTCCTGATAAGACCAAAGAGCTAATTATTTTTAAAATCCCAAATATATGCTCTGTAACAGTAATATGGAAGAATACTTCTTTTCTTCCTCTTTGGATGCTCTTTTTGGATACCAGAGTTCAGAAGAGATAGATAAGGGATGTGATGGAGAAGGGGGTGCCTTTCAAGTCCACAAGCTATTTCACATACATGAATTAAAGCTATGTATACTTGATTCTATACAGGTTAATATTTGGGTACATTGAAAGAATCTGTGAATAAAAAAGCTGCAGATAGTCTTTGTATGTGGACTCAAGTATACTAAAAGTGATAACATTGGGAGCTAGGTAAATTATTATGTGTCACTTCAAGCATTTTGAGCCTGTCCCTTTGTGTTACTATGCATGTGTGAAAGACAGGAAGGTTTCTAAATCCATTAATGGTCAGGCTGGAGAGCTTGATCTGAAATACATTTTTAGCTCGCAATCCACTATCCCCCCCAGTTAAAACTATTTGAGAATAACTGTTTCATAGCCTAACCTGTCCTTCAGATACAGAGGTAGTTGTCATATGAATAGTGGGCTCAGAGAGATGAAGGTATTATAAATTAAGGAACTAGGGAAACATGAACACCTATTGCTTGTAAATGCTTGCTAGTAAGTTTCAGTTTCACTTTGTACACTACAAGGAAAAGGGCTCCAAAGCTGCTTGAAATTGATCATAATGTAACAGAAGCAAAGAAAGTTGGGAGCTGCTGCCTGACTAGAGAATAGAAGAAAGCAGGGCTGGGTGAAAATGCCTGAAATTTGCTAAGAAGTTGCCAACATGTTTGAAGAGTGGCTGAGAGGGAGGCACATGGCAAGGAAGGGAAGGTTCAGTTTTCTTTAGCTGTCCTTTCTTGGGAGACATTTTCTGTGAGAAGCTTTAACATATGAATGGTGTTAATGTGCTTGTTATGTATTGGGACTGGAAGATTCCAGGACTATTTCTACCAGAGACTGGCTGAGCTTGGAGCTCTAGAACAAAAGCCCACCAGGACTCTGGAGGTGGCCAATGGGGAATTAATGGTTCTGATAATGGCCTATCATTGGTAGTTGTTTGGGAAGTGGGTGGAGTTATATGCTATTTAACAGGGCCATTGCCCTGGCAGTTTGTCTTTTGTCTCTGTCTTGTTCTTGCTGAATCACTAATAAAGCAGAGCTTGGGGTCAGACCATCCACGGAACCCAGTATTTAACAGTACTATAACCAAAGGAGGGGAAGATTTCTGAATTGTGATTAAAATGCTTGAGAATATACATGTGATTTCCAACTCAACAAGGTTCCGAATGAGTAAAAAAGGGGGGGGGGGAGATTGCACTGGCCTAGTCCCTTGGGGATACCGAAACACCAAGGAAACTGCAACTAGAAAATGGCTACCTGGTGCTAGGAAAGTAATGTAGTAGGGGGGCAATAGACTGTCAATGCTGTGGAGAAACACTGGGAAGGAGAGATGAATGACATGTTGCAAAGTAGTGAGCCAAAGCAATACAAGGCAAATAAGAATAGAAACAGAATGTTAGCATTGTCATTGAATTGTACAGAAGTGAGGATCATAATTAGTCTTCTTGTTCTGTAACAGCAGGCTCTAAGAAATTAGAAGCTGGTATGGCTC